ACACAAGAGGGCAATAGAGGACAACAGAAAAACATGAGAACTAACATAGATCTAGAAATTACAACAAAACTGTAATTAAACCAATAAATCTAGAAAACAAGGAGCAAAGTAAAGCACAACAGAACCAAGACCATGACACTAAGGTGGTGCTAAAGCATTTTAACTGGGTTTGCTTTCACACTGAACGGAAGAGAGAGTTGCAGCTAGCGCTCAAATCAATGCATACAAGTAGAAGAGAGCACTTTTTCGCACAATGCTTACAGCACAGTAGTCCTGCAAAAATGGACTCTGGACAAGCAAGCTTTCAAGGCCGCTAAAAAAAAGAAAAGAAAAAAAAAAACTGAAACACACTGAAATGAAACATCTAGAAGTTTGTAGAAAATCAAAATAAAGTCAGAATTGCAGTGTTGATTAAAAATGATCACAATTTACATTTTGGGCAAAATTGTTCAGCCCTAGCATCCATCCCTTGTTTTGAAAAAGATCCTACTGGGCTATTTGTTCCTGGAAAGCTCAGTTTCAGTCTTATCTGATCAAAATACAGTTCCTTAAAATCACAGGATAAAAATATTTACGATTGTAATTGGAGGACAGAAAAGGCTATTGTCTAGCATCCTAAACTACTAATTTGTACTGTAGGTAGATAGAATCTAATTGTCCATGTAGAGAGTTTGTGAAATAAACCCATTTACTTCTTTGAGAGATTATTTTGTTTTTTACCTCCCCCATCATCCTCCTGACTGTGTGAGGATACATCATAAACTTTGGATCGTGTCCAGCCTACTGTGTCCCAGTTCCAACCATGTGAAACATTTTAGTTTTGCTCTTAAAGTAGATATGGATTGTTTTGGATCTGTAGCTTTTTATTCTTACTCCCTGACTCAAATAAAAATGCATGTTTTTTAATTGAAAGGTATAAACTATTGTTTTTGCTATTTTAAAATGTGGCAAAGATCAAATGCACTGTAAAAATAAAATACTTTCTGCTTTCCTGTTTATAAACATAATTTATTACTGATAAGAGCCTGTAAAAATTTTTAATTATTTTATAAATTAATCTTTGAAATAATGATTAACTTATTATATAAACACTTTTTGATATGCAAATATTTGGAGCAGTGTACATTTTGATAAAAGAATGTGACGTTTAGTTTTAACAGCAATAATCCTGGATTCCAACAATTGTTGAGATGTTGAATTTAATTGCATGTTTGATACACAAGCAGAGGTGAAGTCTTCTTACAAAAACACGATCCTTGCAGTACCTTAACTCTCTGAACTCTACCCCACATCAGATTTCACCTAAATCAACCTTAGCAAGGACATCTCAGTGTTCTGGCTTCAGGTCCAAGGTTGATGTGGTAATGCATCTGTGTAGTAATATTTTAAGCCAGAGTGCACATTGAACTTAAACTGACAACAGGGACACGCTCCAGGGAAAGACTTACTGAAGAGGTGAGCCACTTTTAAAGCTTTATATTGCAGAATTAAGGTCATACATGACATCATAAAAACATGCATATACTTATGCTTAATTATTAAACTGATTAAATGACAGGTTTAAAAATGATCAGAGGAGAAAAAAGTTTTTCTGACTTGGTCAGGTTCATGCAGTTGGTGTTATGATTAACCTTGATAATCTGGCCTTTGATCGGGGAATGAATGGGTGCATTGCATGATGGAACGATAATAGAGGCAACAAACAAAGGAAAATAAAAGCTAAGGATCAATGCAGAGTTGTGTTGTTGTCTTTAAAACACAGAAAATAAATCAATCTTGGTGGTCTGCAAGCAGCAGTTTGATTGCTTCACATTGAAGCAATCAAACTGCTGCTTCAATGTGAGTTATATTCAGGGTGGAGCCATCAATGGCAAAATAACAAAAAATCATGGGGAAAGAATATTTATATAATACTTGAAAATATTTATATATAAAACCAAAGAAATGAAATGGTTAAAGCACAAGACCCCAACTTTTTTCCAAACCTTATAGTCTGACCTACCATGTCTGCCTCCAGCCCCACATTAGAGGGTAAGAAACATAGCTTTTTTGGACAAAAAAAAAAAGCAATGATACTTTTTTTTTTTTTTTAACCTCAGTAGATTTTAAATGTTGATTTTTCATCACAGTTAAAAAATGCATTGTTGAATTTTTGTTTATTATACTATACTATATTAGTTTATGCGTGATATGTTAAATTGCTTTCAACTATGACTTGAATCTGTAAATTGATTATCAAAAGTAAGGTATGGAAAAGTTATCCTTATATCTTTAGTTTCTCTTTTTCTTAAAATTCAAGTTTCTAGTTCGACAGCAACGGCTGGAAAGACCTGTTGTTGTGAAATGCCTTTGCACCACCTTACATAAATATTAATGCAGTTTTACTATAAGTAATGCCAAATAAATGCTAACTTTTTTTTAGCTTATCATGTCATTGTTTTTCATTTTTACTTCAACTAATACATTCCCTGTTATTAAGCAACTCAGTATAACCCATTCCTTGTTGTTTAACTTAGGTTATTCTTGTGTGTTTTGTTATTTTTGACATTCATGGTGTTTTGGATATGTTTACTTGTTGATTTGATTTTCTTCACTTATGTTTAGTTTTGTTGCATTGTGTTTATTTACATTTGTTTAAATTTATGTTCGGGTTATAGTTTATCTAATGCATTCATGCAGATTTTTTGAGTTAATTTTTGACTCGATTAGTTTGTGTACTTCCTTTTTTTTACTTTACTTAAATTAAATAATTAATTCAATAACCAAAATGTTACAACATTTGTTTAAATACCTTAAATGTATTTCATTTAAATTAAATTTGTTTAAGGGCATGTTCGGAACTCTATATTTTGAGGCCTATGTTTTTCACACGGAATGTTTTGAGCGTTGCACCAGCAAGCTGTCAAGTCAACAGAAGTAGCTCCTAGCTCACCTGTGAGGTAAAATTCGCGTTGGAAACTTTTAGTTTGTGTTGTACAACTCTATATGTGAGAGTGAATGTATCGTATGAATTTCAACGTGAGAAAACACTTAGTTTCCAGTTTAAACCGGTTGTTTTAGCTGCATACTGTGTGCTAGTGCTAGGTTTGACTTTGTCAATGCTAATTGACTAAACTACATTTTATATCGAAGCTATTAAAGACTTTTTGCGATAAGTACACTAAGGACAAAGCAGAATTCAGACCTTTTTGGAAGTATTTATTTGAATTTGTAGTGTTAGCTTTCGTTTCAGCGCAAGCTAACACTATGATTAAGTGGTGATCCAATTATCTCTGCTAACTGGTCAGGCACAGTGTTTAAACTGGGAACTAAAGAGGTTAATTACTTGAGTTTGCTGCTGTGTTATTTTAAGCATAAGGTTCCGGTGTTGAGACAAAATATGTGACCCTCATGTATTGCAACTCTAGTGCTAGCTGTGACGGATTCTCCTCCCCAGTTATCTATCTACTAACCCTAATTTCACAGGATTCATACCTAAATCTAATGTCACAAAATCAACACCTAAAACTAAATTGACTAGATTAATACCTAAACCTAAAGAAGTCTGGTAAAGTAAAAGCTTTAAAGGTAGTGTTTAGATCCAAACTGCATTACACAAAAGAGTCATAGAGAATAGAAAACATTATCTTGTTTCTAAAAAAAAAAAAAAAAAAACTGTACAAAAAAGTGTCCACAATATAAAAAAATAGTAGGAATTTGTTATTTAAAAGTAATGGCATCTGTGATTATAGTTTAAGAACACATTTAACCATCAATGTAACATTTTGCCTGTAAAGTTCACCATTGTGTTTAGATTGCAGATGTAAGAAAAATGGGATTTTGATCTTGGCATGGCAATAAATCCATCCAACTGTGAGGGCTCTTGTACACAGCCCTCTTCAGCTGACCCCATACATCTTATTTTTGTTTAATTGTTCTCCCAGCTTCTAGCCTGCCATTTGAAGATGCCGTTTTATTTCTGTTAAACCCATTATTTTCTTTATTTTGTTGTATGTCTGGCTTCAATGTGGTCTTGAGTCCCCCTTCAATTTTGGGTAAAAGAATGTCTTTTATTTGGAGCTTTTGACAATAGCACCTTGACAAAAGCCTCATTGTCATCAGAAGGAATGTAATCCCAGGTCATGATGCAGCTGCTGCAATGTGTCACTATGTTTATTGTGTTATTTTGGTCGGTATTTCGAAGCCCTGGTCCTTCGGGACTTGCTGTCATGGAAGCTTTAAATGCTTCCTGATTGACAAGCTTCAGGGAAACTCTGCAACTGCTACTAAAGTAATGCTATCATTTCAATCAGGTGTGTGCTGGAGCAGATTTGCATCTTAAAAATGAAAAAACCCATGATTTTTTTTTTTTTTTTTTATTATCACCCACTGACCTTGCCTAAGCACTTTTCTAATAACCAAGGTGATATATTAGTGATCAGCTGTGTGTGGCTCTTGTTGTTTAGACAATAAGTGTGAAACACATGACACTGCAAGCTTGTCACCATCAAACAGCTGCAGGGCAGTGCTATAAACCCTCAGTTAGCCATTGCTTTGTGTGTTCTGCCTACTCATTTAAGCCTTCTAAATTACGTGGTGTTCCAAGGAAAAAGAAATGGGCAAAGTTCTGATCCTAAGTTAAAAAAACAAAGTTTATGCAAACAAAAACAAAACTCCTCCAAATGAAATCGATATAATTTCCTTCAATTATCGGCTAATGACTGTTTCTGTTTTTTAACCTTTAAAGTCCTAAAACAGTAGCTGCTTTTTCAGAAATACAACAAAAGCTAATGGTCTTTTTTTGTCTTTTTTTTTTTTTAAACGTAGCATGTTCAGTTTTCTTTTGAAGTTTGAGCAATGATCTGGAATTATGTTGCGCCAAAATTTGTGCTGGGCAATTAATCGATTTTTAGTGACTAGTCAATTTTTTGTTTATGAGGACTTAATGTTTTGATTATTTGTTTCCACCATCTGCACATTGGGCTTTCATGGCTCAGGGTAACATCGATTCATTCCTTTTTGTTTGTTGCAAAACATAATTATTTTACAAGCTTGTTTAACAGCTAGATTTCATTGCCTTTTAAATTAAGGTCAAAGCACTGAAATAAAAGCTAGTTTTTGACAGTATTTTATTATGAAACCTTAGGGAGAAAAAAGAAAATCAATTGAATTTGGTAGGGAATAAAACAAAATTAGATTTTTTTCAGGATAAAACCCAGTCCTAGCCAAAATAAGCAAATTTTTTTTGTCAGAAGATCAGTGGAATTTGCTGCCTATTGTTAGCATTACAAGAAAAAAAACATAGATTTCTCTCTAGAGCACTATAGGCCAAGTCTTTAGACGATTTAAAACCCGTCCAAACAAAGGTTTTAAACAGTTTTTTGTTTGGCTATATCAATATGCATACCCAACACATTTAAAGATGGACGATATATAAATGTAAATACTTACTAGGGCTCGGAAATTAATTGCATTTACAATATACCGGTAATCGCAATTTCAGAAAAATGCAGCTTTAAAATTCTTCCCACTCTAGCCTTTTATGTGGCTTTTATACCTTAAAAGTTGGTTTGCCTCCACAAAGAATGAAAGAGACGGCTGGCATGCAGCTATATGCATTATACCAGAAGTAAGACCAATTACATGGAAAATGTTAAGGTCCTGCTTTCAAGCTTATAAAAAACCGAATCCCAAAAGGGAAACATTTACATGATTGCGCTTAGTTCAAAGGCAAGTAGCAATAAAATCACAATTACAATACTGATTGAAAATTAACGCAATTTAGGTTTTTGGCAAAATCGTTCAGCCATTGTTACCATGAAGAAAAGCAATTTTACTCATCTGAAATGCAGTTTTTGTGCCCTTTTCTTTGACCACATTTAATGGAAACTAACACACAACATTTTTGTGGAAATTGTGTTCACAAAGGAGGCTTTGGTACAGTGCAAATA